TTAGGAGTATACATGCTGGAAAGCAGTCCTGAGGAGGATCTGGGAGTCCTGGTAAACAGTAAGTTAACCACGAGCCAACAGTTATGCCCTTGTGACCAAGAAGGCCAATGGAATGCTGGGTTGCATAAGGAAGAGTGTGGCCAATAGGCTGAGGGAGATCATTCTCCCCCTCTACTCTGCCCTGGTGAGGGCTCCACAGTTCAGGAGAGACAGGGAGCTACTAGAGACAGTCCAGTGGAGGGCAACAAAGATGACTGGGAGATTGGAGCATTTCTCTTATGAGGAAAGGCTGAGAGAGCTGGGACTGTTTAGCCTAGAGAAGAGAAGGTTGAGGGGAGACCTTGTTAAGACCGAAAAGCATCTGAAGGGTGGGTGCAGCCAGACTCTTTTCAGTGGTTCCCAGTGACAGGATGAGGAGCAAAGGGCACAAGCTGGAACATAGGAAGTCTCATTGAAATACGAGGCAAAACTTCTTTACTAGGCTGGTGATGGAGCACTGAAACAGGCTTACCAGGAAGGTTGTGAAGTCTTCTCTGGAGATATTCTAGACTTGCCTGGATGCAGTCCTGACTAATGTGCTCTAGGTGATCCTCCTTTAGCAGGGGAGTTGGACTGAATCATCTCTAGAGGGCCTTTCCTACTCTGACAATTCTGTGATTCTGTGATTATATGATTCTATGTTACTTTGCCTTTTTAGGTGTGGATAGATTTGTTAAACCTGAAACTTCAGAGGATGATAGTAAATTTTCACTAATGTTTTGGGGTTTTTTTGTGAAAGTAGCAAAGGCAGCAAATGAGGCTTTTTTACACACAAACTCTAGAAAATGACAGTTCTAAAGTATAAAAAGGAACTGCTGATTTCAATGTGCCTTTAATGAAACAGATAGGTTTTCAAGGTATGAATCGGAGACCATGCTGTACATCTGAAAAGTCAGACTTCTTTCATGTTAGTTTTTCCATACCCACATTGGTCAGAATATTGAAAGTTTATGAAACAGTGTGGTACTTTATTTTGTCCTGTTCTGTGTCTTAGTTAATGGATTGTAAGACAAAGAAAAATCAAAATTCTAATAGGTGGTATGAAAAGATTTAACAAACGCACAACTGGGTGCAAAAGCTTCACAATCACACCAAACTGTTTTCACCACTGGAGAGTCTCTGACCATATCCACACAGAGAATGCAACTGCATGATACAAAATATTTATGGAAGATTTTATCTCGTGTGATTAAAATGCCTTGTACGAGTTTTCTCTTTTGTTTGCTCTGAGCTGTATTGTTTATCTAGGTAAAACTGATGATCTTTAGGTCTAACAGACCTGCATGTGGGACAAACTAAGCAGCAACTAAGGTTGTTCCCAACCCAGGCTGGAGAGAAGCTCTATGGCGAAGGCCTTGGGGCCATGGTGGGCAGCAAGCCAGGCATGACCAGCAGTGGCCCTGGCTGCAACGAAGGCTGAACGTAGCCTGGGCTGTACAGCCAGTCAGTTGAGGGAAGTGATAATCCCTCTCTGCTCAGCACTTATCAGACAATAGCTGTGTAGTTTGTCTGGTTTCACCACCCCCAGTAGAAGAAACACATGAATAAAGGAGTGAGTTCAGATTCAGTTAAGGCTGCCATTTTCACAGAGGCTGCAGAACTGTCCCACCCTGCAGTTTGAAGGACCAGATCTCGTTCAGGATGGAGAACACACAGTTTGTGGGGCACCATTAAGTGGCCCCCTATAACTTACAGGAAAGCCACAAAGAAGATGCAGTCGAACTCTGTGCAGCAATGGATGGTGGGAGGATGAGAGAACAGTTATGAGTTGAAACATAGGTAGTTCAGACTAGATAAAATGGTGAAAAAATTTGCACTGAGGATAATTTACACAGAATGACACACACACAGAATCATCCTGGTTGGAAAGGATCTTGAAGATCATCAAGACCAACCATAGCCTGAGTCCACCAACCATAACCTAATCTACCTGTTCAGTGCTTAAATCATGTCCCTAAACATGTCTATTTAACATGTCTATTTAGGCTGGGGGAAATGTTGTAGGTTTTCAGATCACAACAGGACAGAACAACCTTTCAGGGTCAGCTGTCATTGCTGACCCTGCTGTGATCATCAGGCTGGACCAGAGACCTCAGGCCCCTTCCAGCCACAATTACCCTATGATTCTATGGTCATTTCTAAAGACAGTCTGCAAAATCTCCCTAGAGCAATCAATGTGCTCTTCTTGTCACTTTAAAATTTTCCTATCATCTAACAGGAATTTATTCTACATGGAAACCCAGTAATTCATTTTTTTTCCCACTACAGATAAACACTCTCCCTCTTTGCGATAGCTAACTATGCATTTGAGGATTGTTACCATGCCACTTCAGATTCTCTTAGAAGCTTTTTTGATACTTAATACTTCATGCCATTAGGTGCTACATTTCAATTTGTTCTAACTTTTGGGCAACTGTATGTGTCAGATTTGTCAGTGATTTCTGAGTATGCTAAAGCGTGTTTACATGGCAGGAGTACACTCAGAGAGCTTTTAAAATTTCATTTCTCTACTCAGCATTTCACTGATTTTCATAGTAAAAGTCTTCATAGTTCAATTTTTTCTTGTAATTCCTAGCCTATGTATTATCTGACGCAATGCTTAAGCTGCTTCTGAGGTGAAATAGTCATGTTACTTGCCTTTTTGCTCACAAAAATCATTGAACTATAATACTCATGAAAGCTCATTCTCTGCAGTCGCCCAGGACTCTAATGTCTGTGACTGCTTTGATTTTTCATGTTCGCAGTACTTAAGTACAAATTTACTCTTAGTGGAACAGTGTCTTGATAGCTTCCTCCATTTTCATTTCTTGCTAGCTATTTTGTTTTTGTTTGTTTTCTCAACAGCATGAGCTGCTCACCCATTTTCCTTGTTCCTCACAGGGTTTTCCCTCTTAGAGAAATACACAGAGCAGTGTTTTCTTGCCATGGTTTGGGCCCAACACGACATCAAAGGAACAGTCCCATGGCCGCTTGCTCAACTCCCCCCCACACACACACTGTGGGATGAGGAGGACAGAGCTCCTGGGTTGAGACGAAGGACAAGGAGTGTTCTTCACTGATTAAGGTCCCAGGCAAAACAGACGCAACTTGGGGAAAAATAATAATTTAATTTTACACTAATCAAACACACACAGGACACAGACAACACACAGAGCAGGGCTTGCAGATGTTACCCCACCCCTCCCTTCTTCCCGGGCCCAAATCACTTTGTTCCTAGTTTCTCTCCCTCCTTCCCCCCAGCGGCACACGAGGCAGGGGATGGGGTTTAGAGTCAGTTCACAGGCCGATGGTTCCTGCTGCTTCTTCCTCCTCAGGAAGAAGTTTTCCTTACAGCCCTTCCCTGCTTCCCCATGGGGTCTCTCACATGGGAGAGAGTCCTCCACGAACCTCTCCTTCATGAGGAAGTTCACGAGGTCCAGAGCTGCTCCAGCCTGGGCTTCCCACAGAGTCACAGGGGCTTCGGGAACAGCCACCTCCCCTGGCATTGGGGTCTTCCAAAGCTGCGCAATCAAGAGTCCACTGGCAGCAAATCCACTGGCCACAAAATCCAAGTCCATTGGCCACATTCACCCCTCCTGGCACCTTCAAGGAATGTTCCACAACATTCCTTCATGAGTGCAGGGGCACAGCTGCCATCTCCATCACCAACACCCAGCACTCTCTGCCTCTCCAGTTCAGCTGTCCCTCACTGCTTGCTCTTCTGAGGTCTTATCTCAGTTCTTTCATATGTTAATCACAGAGGCGCATCCATTGTCTCTTAAATAGCTCCTTGGCTGGTTTTGGAGCTGTGGGAGCTTCTGAGGTTCTTACTGAAGCCAATCATGGGGCCCTTCCTGCCAAAAATCCCACCAAACCATTTTCCTAATAAAAGATGCAGGCACAGCAAATGTTGCAGTTAGTTCCACACATTCTATTTATATATATTTATATAGCACTGGCCTGAAAAGTAACAATATCCGAGACCCTCTTCAACTTCTGCAGTTCTTTTTTAGTGTTTATTTGATTAAATATCACTACATATAAAAAGAAATGTGTATATGCTGTGTACCTAATGAACCACTAGTGATGGCAGAACAACTTACCAGCTCTGTGAAAGCTCTACCATTTCTGTTATTTAGTAATGATGACAATATTTCTGGTCCTATTGCTTACAGGCAGATTTTGTTAAGGGGAATTGTCTTCAGGGTTCACAGAGTTTTGTGACCTTTGAAATGGCATTTGCCAGTGTTGACAATATTAGCCACTTAAAAACGTTGTGAAAATGTTTTGGGAAGCTTTCTGATAAGTGTAGCATGTCTCCAGTCACATATAATCTGCTGTGAAATAAAGATTAGAATGAAAAGGCAGACTGATCTCAGTTTACCAAAATGTACCCATTGACCTAAAATGGAAGTGGAAAAACACATGGATAACAGTCTACAAATATGTCTTAGATGTCAGCCAGGAGTGCTGTCCAGTTGTAGTGGAGATAAATTCCCTAACTACTGAAGAGGTAGCATGTTTAGAGTAGTTGACTGTCATACACATATACCAGTGTGTTTTAACGATGATATGAGGAGACATCTTTAGAAGCAGAAGGGTAATTCAGTTTCTACAATTTATTTAGGCCTTCGCCTTGTTCAAATACCATTTCCCAGATGTAGCTTTTTTATTTCTGGGTCTGTTAGTAGTAGTAGTATAAGTAGGAAGAATACTTAAACTCACAGTGTTAATTTGAAATAAATCATGAAGTAATGAAGATGGGTTTTTGTTACCAGTCCAGGCTGGATTGCAAATCCTAAATTTGCTACTGAAACAGAACATTCTGTAATCCACTGCAAATCTCCTTAAATTATTACAACTAGTCTGCCATCACTTATGTCGCATTACTATCTCTTATTGGGAAATGTATCAAAAAGTACACTCTCCACATGTGCCTGTATTAATGTCTACTGTGTTGTTTTTGCCATTTTCTTTCCTAGATTTTTTCCTCTAGCTGAGCAACAGACACACTGAGAAACATGCCTGAGCAAAGCAATGATTACAGGGTTGTTGTGTTTGGAGCTGGAAGCGTGGGTAAAAGTTCTTTGGTCTTGAGATTTGTGAAGGTGTCACAGTTTGACTCAGGTCCGACAACAATGCTCTCGATCCCCCCTCCCCCCAACCCACGTAGGGAAGGAGAGAAAGAAAAAGAGAGAGACTTGGCTGGATTGAAAACTAAACTACACAGCTTTAGTTAAAACACTAATGAATGATACAAGAAAAATATACAATTATATACAGATAGATTCAGGTGTAGGCAAAAGCCTCTCGCCTCCCCCCACCCCAGCAACTCCCACAGCACTTCCCTGAACTGGGAAGAGTCCCGAGGAATCCCGGAGCTGCTGCTGGAGAAAGCAGAGAGTTATGGGGGTCACAAGAGATCAAGCCTGAGGATCGACGGTGATGGATGAACAGAGTCCTCCCTGGACGCCGGCCATGGACGGAAGAGAAGGGGAGAAGAAGAAGGAAGGAAGTTGTCTTCTGTGATTTCTGACCTTCCTCTGAGCTTACGTAGATATATGGAATGGAATATCTTTGGCCAATTTTGCTGTCTGTCTAACTCAGCCTCCTACGGGGGGGGTCACAGATCTCCCCATAGTGTCTGAGCTGGCAGAGTGCAGGTGTGGCCTTGAAGCCTCAGTAGTTAGAAAAACATTCCACTGTCTTATCAGCCTAGCAGAACACACTGTTGCTAGTTACAAGAGAGCTTACTGAAGGAAAAAAAAATCAGTAAAAAGAAAAATTGGCTTCATCCTGGTGCAAACCAGGACAGAAGGGCACTTTCAGAGAGAGCTACATCCCTACCATTGAAGACACCTATCGACAGGTGATCAGCTGTGATAAGAGTATATGTACTTTGCAGATAACTGACACTACAGGGAGCCATCAATTTCCAGCCATGCAACATCTTTCTATTTCTAAAGGACATGCTTTCATTTTGGTTTACTCCATAACCAGCCAACAGTCCTTGGAAGAACTCAAACCCATCTATGAACAAATATGTCAGATTAAAGGAGATGTAGGAAGCATTCCAATAATGCTGGTAGGGAACAAAAATGATGAAAACCAAAATCAAGAGGTGGACAGCAGTGAAGGAGAAGCCACAGCTAAGAAGTGGAAATGTGCCTTCATGGAGACCTCTGCTAAGCTGAACCACAATGTGAAAGAGTTATTCCAGGAATTGCTAAACTTAGAGAAACGCAGGACTGTGAGTTTACAAATTGATGGCAAAAAAAGCAAACAGCAAAAAAGGAAAGAGAAGCTGAAAGACAAATGTGTGATGATGTGAAATTACACTATCAGGAGTCAGTAATGCAGTCTCACCTCTTACAATATTTATGTGAAATCTATAGACAGGAAATAACCATGTAAGACCCTATTTGTTAGTATCTGATTTAAAATAAATACTTGGAATTTTAAAAAATTAGTTACTATGGTTACTGTGAAAAAAAGCCAACAATTTAAAAAACATCTGCTCTAGCTATCAGCAAAAAAAAATCTGGAAGTGAAAGAAAGATGTAATGTGGAAGGTTTGGCAAGTCAGCTTCATATTATTTACATTTGTGTATAACATAAGGAGAAGGCAATGCATATTGTTAGAAGGTAGACAAAGAAATAGCCATGAAGAAACCTACAACATACAAATGCATGATGGTGGCATTACCATGCCTTTTAAGAATGCTGTGGACAAACTATTTTGTGCAATTGTCATTACTGACTGATGGGGCATCGTGCATAAGGTAATCTTAGGTCTGCCAAATAAATGAGCTATTTCACACTAAAAGGAAGCATGGGGGTAGCACAAGTAAAAGGTACAGATATTCTGTCTACCTCCCCCTCATTCAGCATGAGATTTCTTTGCAGTATGATGCAGTGTTTGAACTGAATGATGAAGAAAAGCCAGCCCCTATAGGAGAGATGGAGATCAGCTCATTTTCTGGACCTGTTACTTCAAGAATGACCTGTGCTTCTGGCCCCAGTGTATTTCAGAAGAGCAGAGGTTTGCCTGTGAAGAATGTCAAACTGCATGAATATGGTGGATGCATGCAAATTGAAAGCTTCTTTAGGGAGGACTGTCTGGGCAGTTCCCTGCAAAGCCTCTAAGGGAAAGGGTCAATTCAAATGCTGTTGATGGTTAAATTAAGACTTTATGTGATTTGTAAATGAACAACAAATCTGTTGAACTGGTGGTATCCTTGGCGGTGGATCAGTATAGTATACAAATTTTTTATTCAAATCTCCAGGTTAGCCGAGTGAAACTTCTTTACATTATGATAATCAAATTAGAATGGTTTTTCATTCACACACTACTAGATCTATTGCCTTTATATTGTCTTAAGGGTTTTATATTAACCATTTAAACTTATTTAAACTGCTGTGACTTTTCACAGAATCAAATTATATACATAGGGCTATTAGGACCCACAAAAATCCCTAAGAGAAGATTTTCTGCGATAAATACTACAGGATCTGGCATGTTAATAGTTGCAGATAGTACTGCATTGCAATGCACGACAAAGTTCAGAATAGGAAAGAAAAATGTTTAAACCACTATGTCAGGAGAAACTGCTCTTTTCAAAATATGTGGAAGGAGAAAAGTTTACAAAATGTGAGCTTTTATGGATCTCTCTCCAATGTTTTTTAAAAACTGAGTGAGCAAAGTATGTATCCTACTGCTAACAAAGACTATCTAAGATTAAAAAAGCACATTTTTTAAAGGACAAATCAAAATTGTATAAGCTACGGTTTGCACATTAAGAACTGCTTAGAAATAATAAAAAAAATATATTTTTAGTAAATGTTCATGTGGAATTATACTATGGGAAAATGCAGTCAAGTAGTAGTAGTATGCATGCTGTTGCATTATAAGTATCTTTTAGGAGCTGTTCAAATGCAGTATTTGTGTTAAAAATTGTTACCTTGCCGCTCTCAAAGCTAATGCTTGCTTACCTTCCACTTCTCTAAGAGAAATCCAAACATTTCACATGTAGAGTGATAGTATTCTTTGAGCAAAAAGTGCTATGAGCACTGTCTAAAAAGGAGCACAACTTTTCGTCATTCACTCAAGAAGAAATTCTGGCACCATTAAAAGTGTAAAACTTCTACTGGTTATAGCACATACAATTTTGTGTCTTTACTTCATTGTATTTAGAAGAGAAAATTGGAGAGCATGAAAAAAGCTAATTCTCTTCCTTAGCAATAAATTCCTTGCTCTTATACAATGCTTTTTCTCTATTAATCTCAAAGCACTCCACAAAAAGGACAGTGTTATTATTTTAACTGCCTAAATGGTGAACTGAGGTGTGAGGAGAAGAAGCAGCTGCCACAGCAGGGAAGTGGCAGACCCAGGAACAAAAGCAGATTCTCTCTGTCCCAGTCTTTGCACTGTCTTCGGTCAGACTGCCTCTTCTCTATTCTTAAATAGTTTCTAAAACAGATGAAGAAACTCAGTATTGTTTATACAGCTAAGCGCATCTTTTCCTTTTCAGTCTGTCAATAGGTCAAGCAATATTTGCAGATCAGAGATGCAAAACATTCAAAAGCACTACATTCCATAAGACTTTTATATGTGTTTATACATCTGCTTTGTAAGCAAATTACTGACCTGACTCATCCTTGCAACACTGGATTCCACTAGTGAAACTGGAAAATCAAAAGAATTATCACACTTAAGAAGTAATGAGCCACATATGGAGGTCAGCAATATAGAGGTCTCCCCCTGATGCTAGCATGCCTAAGGAGCAGGATGGAACAATGATACAAACTAAAAAAATGGCCATATAATAATAAAGATCCTTGTAACATTATTCCTTTAAGTGGAGGAATTATTTACATAGTAAAGAATATTGCAGAAGTAGAATATAGGGGATCTGAATTAGACACAAAAGGCTATGACTGCAAAGATTTTACACATTGAAATTGGGCCTTGGATTAATTATTTCTTTTTAATATGCCTAATAGCAAGAAAAGAGTAATTGTGTGGGAAAGGTGGAAATAAAACTAAGAGCTGCTGGTTGTTAGGTTTGAAGACCATTACCTTTCATTTCCAATTGATTTCTCTCTTGCTTCATAATAAGCCGTGGATTATTTTCTGGACTTGCATATATCAAAGCAAGACCAGTACTGAAGTACAGAAGCAATATTAGTCGTAGCCATAGACTTGAAAGATAATGCATTTTATACTCTTGCATTGCCGTTCTAGTATATACTAATAAATTTTATGTATCTTAGATACTTGTGAGCTGGTTTAAAATTTTTGTTTTACTATTTCTTATGCCTTTTTTTTTTTTTTTTAATGCAGGGAAAAACTGTAAGATAAATAAAGAAAAATTAAACATTGATTACATTTTGTGTTTCATTTGGGAATGTGCTATCAGCATAATAAAGTCTTTAAAATGTTTATTAAATATACTATGTACTTAAAACTTGTAAGATTTTAGTAAGTAACTGACTTTTCGCACCCAAAAAACATAATGCAGACAAAATGTCTCCTTACAATGCGTGACTTTTATATGTACATACGAAATAGTAAGATATATAGTTATCATGAACGTGTATTGTGATTTCCTTTGCAAATATTTTATTTTCAAACTCTGGATATGACGTAATTTGTGCACACAGGTTTCTAGGTTTCAGGTGATGTTCTGAACATACAAAATAAAGTTTTAAATGGAAATGCAAGTTTGGAAGAAATTTTATTGGTACCTGTATTTTCACAGAATCACATAATCTTAGGGTTTGGAAGGGACCTTGAAAGATCATCTAGTCCAACCCCCCTGCCAGAGCAGGATCACCTAGAGCACATCACACAGGAATGTGTCCAGGTGGGTTTTGAATGTGTCCAGTGAAGGAGACTCCACAGCGTCTCTGGGCAGCCTGTCCCAGTGCTCTGTCACTCTCACAGTAAAGTTCTTCCTGACACTCACATGGAACCTCCCATGCTCCAGTTTGCACCCGTTGCCCCTTGTCATCTTATCTTGCCCCTTATCACTGGTCATCACTGAGAAAAGCCTGGCTCCATCGTCCTGACACTCGCTCTTAACATATTTGTAAACATTGATGAGGTCACCCCTCAGTCTCCTTTTCTCCAAGCTAAAGAGACCCAGCTCCCTCAGCCTTTCCTCATAAGGGAGATTCTACTCCCTTAATCATCTTTGTGGTTCTGTGCTGGACTCTCTCAAGCAGTTCCCTGTCCTTCTTGAACTGAGGGGCCCAGAACTGGACGCAATACTCCAGATGCGGCCTCACCAATGCAGAATAGAGGGAGAGGAGAACCTCTCTTGACCTACTAACCACACCCTTTCTAATGCACCTCAGGATGCCATTGGCCTTCTTGACTACATGGGCACGTTGCTGGCTCATGGTCATCCTCCTGTCTACCAGGCTGCCCAGGTGGGAAAGTGAAGTGAACCTGTGGGAAACCACATAGCAGCCTTCCAGTATCTGAAGGGGCTCATAGGAAAGCTGGGGACAAGCTTTTCAGCAAGATCTGTTGTGATAGATAGGTAGTTTTATAAAAGTATGTCTGCAAGTGTTCAAATAAAAATCTTTTTATGTATGGCTCTGTGAAGGGCGTGTTCACATATCAACAAATGGTGAAGGACAATGTTAGGAGGAAGAGGCAGGATTATGCGCAGTGGCTTGTGTGGGGACGACCAATAATTACAGAAGGTAAATATATAGAATCTCAGTAATAATATTTAGGAATAATGAAATAAAGGAGGAAAAAAAGTCACATGCTTATACTTGGAACTATCCTAAAATAAAGATTGTTAGATGACAGAACAATCACTCAGAGAGCAAGTAGCAGTCAAGATGAACATTAAAAATAGGTTGGGGTAAAAGAAAAAATCTTAAATTTTGCCCTCCATTTTTGCTGCCAAAACTGTATTTGTTCATGATTGCTCTACTGGGTTTTTTTTTCAAGCTCAAATCTGAATTCAAGGTTGATCTAATTCTGAAAGCTTGAGCAACATGTAATTATTTCATGGTCTTTTGTTTACCTTGTGGCCAAAGTTGAATGCCATTTTACAAAAGCCACCAAGCAATCCCACTATGATAAAGAACCATTTTAATTGTTTAATTACTTACTAAATACCAGTTCAAAATAATTTGACAAGTCCAATAAACAGAGGAATACAGTAGATCTGTTAAATCGTTTTAATGAAAAAAAAAAAAATCCTGTCAGTTATGTAACAGAACATAAAGTATAATCAGAATGCAGAATCAGAAAACACCATCAAAGCCAGGTGGATGCAAATACAACATTGTTACTGGGAGGTGGGTGGGAAGGGGAGAAGGCAGGGGGGGTTTGGAAAGAAGCAGCAGCACCTCTGTTTTGCTGCGTTCCCTGTCTCTCCTCTCCTCAGTAAAAGCAGCCAGCCAGGCTGCCTTCACCACAGCCGAAGCACTCACTTGTTAGTATAGAGAGCAGAGAGAAACTCAAGAGTACCACTTGGCC